GGGAGGGACCAGCATGGCTGACAAGAGCGAGTCTGAGTTCGCCTTCTTTGTTTCTGCTGTTCACCTGTCTCTCTCAGTTTCCTCACCCCACCCGGCACGGAAGGAGAGCCAGCTTTTTGGGCAGTAGGAGATATTCTTGGGATCCTTAGGATTCATGGAGGACAAATAACTTGCGGTGGAAGGGGTCACAGGTGGCCACAAGGAGAAGGTGACATATGAGTTGGGCATGAAGAACCAAGAGGATTTGGGCTCCAAGAAAGAGATGGAAGGTGGGCACAGTAGCAGGAGGCCAAAAGGAACATGTGTGAGCCCTTGGGCCATCACCCCAACGACCCAGGGCCTGACTCTGGGCAGCTCAAACTTCCCAGGAAGCAGGGATTCTAGCCCCTGCAACACCATGTCCCCAGCACCCTGCAAGTCCCTAGGGGGACCCCAGGAGTACCCTGCATCTTGGCCTGGAATGTCTTCCCAGGGAGATGCCTCCCAACAGCGTGGCTCTCTCAGGCCATACCCCTTGCATCTTTGTTCCCTGAGGTAGACACACCCCCCAGGCAGCTCAAGCCGATGAGGCCAGACCCAGAAGCAGCGCACCCCAGGACTCAGGGAGCAGCTGACTCCTCCCTCTCCTCAGCCTCACAGCCCCTCCTGCCTGCTGGGACCTTCAGACCCCTCTGCGTGAGCCAGCACGCCTAGGAGAGCCCTGGGTCCCCTTCCAAACTGGGGGAGCAAGTACACCCTTGTAGGGAGTGGAGCTGCCCAATTTCCTACACCAGTCCATGTGGGCCAGCTAGGCCCCTGCTGCAGGGGACAACTGGGTGTCTGGAGACGCGTCCATGGAGACAGAACATCAGGGCTAGAGGTTGCAAAGGGCATAGGGGCAGGGCCGGCAGGCGAGAGGCCTGGGCTGACCCCTCTGTATCTACCAGTTTGGGGTGATGGGCTGTGAATGGTCCCAGCCCTGACACACACTCTCTTTCTCCCTTCTTCTTCGGCTCTATTTTTGCTCCCTTCCCCTACTGAGCCCAGACCAGGAGCCAGCTTCCTGGTTTTATCTTGTGTTTATGGGGAAATGGCTGTGCCCATCCCTGGGCCAGCTCAGACAGCTTCCACCCCAGGAAGTGAGTTCTCGTGGCTTGTCCGAGTTAAAAATAGAGACAAGAGACAGTGAGAAACAGGCAAAGAAACATAAGAGAAGGGGACACGGAGAGACAGCCAGCCAGAGAAAAAGAGAAGGGGACAGAAAGGGGTGGTGAGGGATGCAGTAGGTTCCCTCCCCCCACCCATCTGTCCACTCATCCGGCTGATGCCAGGTGACATGTGGCCTACTGGGCGGACTCAAGACCTGAGTCCGTCACTGAGTCTGTTCCCCCAGGTTTGTGCCCCTGAGAGCTGGCGTGCTGAGGGGGTTGGTGCAGCCACGCCTTGGGTCAGTGTTACCCACCGGCTGGTGCTCCAGGCCCCCGGAAGAGCCCAGAGAAGCAAGCTCAGCACAAGACAGGTCCCAAGAAAGTGGCTTAAATCTTTGTGGTCAGGCTGTGCCTGTCCTATGTCTCCGGTGGGGGGTGGGGGGTGTGTGGGTCAGAGAGATAGGTTGATGGGGGTCTTTTCCAACGTTTGGCCTGGGGGCTGGAGGACCACAACACTAGGAGGTGTGGGGCTGGGGGCAGCCCTAGGTTTGGCTGTGGGGGTGGCATGGTGGCCTGAGGGCCTCTGGATCTCCAGCCAGAGGCAACCAGGACCCTGCGCTCCAGCTCCCCGGGATCAGCTCCTGCAGAGCCCCCGCCCCGGCCTCAGGTAGCCCTCCCCCCGGGGAAGGACTATGCGGTCATCTGTCTACCCCTCTCCAGTCTGCAGACCACAAGGGTGGGGAAGGGTCCGATTCCCCAGGATCGGCACAAAGACAGTCCGTGTTACGATACTGTGAGAAATAGGTAGTCCCCCCTTATTCACGGTTTCAGTTACCCGCGGTCAGCTGTGGTCCAAAACTATTAAACCGAAAATTCCAGAAACAAACAATTCATACATTTTAAATTGTGGCTCGTCCTGAGTAGCATTATTGAGTCCCGTTCCATCCTGCTTGGGGCACGAGCCATCCCTTTGTCCAATGTAACCGCACTGCGTAGGTTCCGTACTCACTTGGTAGCCATATCACTTATCAGTTCGACTGTTCTATTTTATTATTGGTCATTATTGTTAATCTTTTACTGTGCCTAATTTGTAAATTAGACTTTATCATAAGTACTATATATAGGAAAAACATCATGGATATACAGGGTTTGGTAGTACCTGAGTTTTCAGGCATTCAGTTAGGAGCGTTGGAGCGTGTCCCCTGTGAATGAGGGGGGGGACTACTGATGTGTTTGGTCTTTGTCCCTGGTTCCTGGCACAAAGCTCCTAAAACCCTTGGAATTTCAAGTGGTGGCAGGTGAAAGGAGCGCCTTTTGTTGTTCAAAACGAGCCCTTTCCAGCCTAGGGGAGTGCAATGAGCCCCTGGACAGTGTGGGGTGCGGGCCAGTCACCAGGGGAACTAACTGTAGGATTAGAGGGTTGGAATTTCGTCCCCACCCCCCACCCCAATAATCTCCAGGGAGGGAAGTGGGGCTGGAGGATGAGTTCAATTACCAAAGGCCAATGATTCAATCAATCACGCCAGGTAATGGAACCTCCATAAAAAACCCAGACACTGGGGTTCAGAGAGCTTCTAGGCTGGTGAACACATAGAGGTGCTGGGAGGGTGGCGCGCCCAGAGAGGGCATGGAAGCTCTGCTCGGCCCCCTCCTACCCAGCCCTGTGCATCTCTTCTATGTTGCTGTTCCTGGGCGGTATTCTTTGTCATAAACCGGTAATGCCCGGTAAACTGTTTTCCTGAGTTCCGCAAGCCATTTTAGCCAATTACGGAAGCTGAGGAGGTGGTCATGGGAATCCTTGACTTATAACCAGGTGGGACAGAAGTGCGTGGGTGCCCCGGGCACGCACTGCTTGCAGCTGGTGTCTGAAGACGGGCAGCCGGTGGGGCCCAGCCCTTCAGCTGTAGCGTCTGCACTAACCCCAGGTAGTTAATGTCAGAATTGTGTTAAATCCTAGCACACTCAGGTGGTGTCCAGAGAGCTGGAGAGCTGGCTGGTGTGAGAATACCAACACATTAGGGGTCAGAAGTGCTGTGGGTGTAAAACAGATTATAGTACCCTCCCAGTTCATTCTGGGCCCTTCTCTCCTGCTCCGGGCCCAGGACATGGACCACGGGCCGTACCATCCAGACCCCTCTGCCTTCTTACTTCTGGCCAGGTGTCGTTAGTGGGGGCACCGATAAGCGATCAGAAGGCAGGAGGAGAGGCAGGGGTATTTACCCACCGGCTCCCTCCAGTGGCGGCATGCCTCTACCCACGGCCCCCGCTTCTGGCAGGCGGACCCTGCCCATGGCTCCCATTCACTGGCTTTAGACGCCCCACTCCCTCCCATCACATCAGCCCTTCAGGTACAGGAGTGCTTGTGGCCCCCTCAGTGCCTTAGGTCACCCTCTCCTGTTGGTCCTAGCACTGCCCACGCCTTTGTAAACTCTCTCAATTGCCCTGCGAGAGGCGTGCCATCTGTTTCCTGCCAGGGCCGACCAACCCACACAAGCCTACGCTGTGTGGAGTGCAAGGCCTTAGAGTCACCTAGTTCAACCTTCACTTTTTACATGAAGGGGCACTGAGGCCCGAAGATGGTGAGTGATCTGTCCAGGGTCACCCAGCCCCAGGGCCAGAGCTCATGGCTGCTCTGGAAAGGCTGTGGGAAGACCAAGACAAGTTGGGAGGCTGCCTCTTCCCCTCCCTACCTCTCCTAACCTGGCTCCCCCAGGGTCATGAAAGCATTTCCTGCACAGCAGGAGCAGGGTGTGCCCGCACAGGCTAATAAACCAATTAGGGCCATGTGCACATCCCAGAGATGGGGACCAGGAGAGCCAGCCAGTGCCCTCCTTCCCTAACTCTGTGCCCCAGGGGGTAGGGCCCTCCACCTGGTATGGGCTGCCTCCTGGCTTCTCTCCACACCCCACCCAACCCTCTGGCTGCCCCCAACCTGCCCACCCCGTCAGTCCCCAATTGCTTCCGGGCCTTTGCATATGCTGCTGCTCTCCGCTAGGCGTCCTTCCCCTCCCTGTCTACCAAGCACAGTGCTGCCCCTTCTCCAAGGCTGCACCTGCTTAGGAAGCCTTCTCCGTGCCTCAATGCTCATGTTCCCTCCATCCTTGTGCGTGGTAATAACCCTCTCCTCCCTTGCAGTGGCAGGCAACTTGAGGGCAGGACCTTGCCAGAGTCACCTCCACCCTCTGGGGCCTACCCAGAGTGGAGATGATGGGGAAAATGCTGGGCGCCTGCATTAGGTTCGGGGCTGGGGTCGGCTCTGGGCTGAGCCCAGGCTTCTCTAGGAGCTGAGTTTCACGCGCACTTACTTCTGTGCCCCAGGCCCAGAGTAAGCACAGGGGCAGCTGACGCTTAGAAGCTGCACCTCTCGTGCAGGAATTGGAGAAAGGGGAGATGAACAGCTCTCAGTCCTCCAGCCAGGGGGTGAGGCCAGCTGGAGAGAGGGACCACAGGAGGATGCTGGGGTAAGGGAGCAGCAAGCTCCAGACGTGCAGGGCAGGGTCGGCCCATTCACCTCCTGGGTTTGGACTCACCTCAGCCCAGTGGGCAGTGTGATCGTCCTCATTTTACAGAGAGGGACGCTGAGGTCTGAAGAGAGCCTTGATCTGCCCTAGCCGGCTTAGCTTGCCTCGGAGCCTGGGCCTCAGCCCTGGTGCTGTATCCTCCTGCGGAACCACGCCCCCTCCGGAGGATCGGGGGCAGCAGCAGGGGAGACTGCCAGGTATACAACGGCACAGAGGTACAGGGGGTGTTGGGACATTTATTTCTGATATTGGTTCCTGAGCTCCAGAAGCTGCAGGACATGCTGCAAGACAGGCTTCCGGCCCAGGCTCTAGGGAGGAGGCTGAGGAGCAGATGGGGGCCCCCTGGAGCCACTCAGGAGCCGCCCGCAGCTGGAGGACAGCTGAACACGTGGTGGGGTTTGTATCTTCTCATGCACACCGACTCCCTTGGTCCCGAGATGGAGGTGCTCCCACAGGTGTCATAGCTTGGGTAGGGAACAGGGAGGAGAGAAGGAGGGAGGATGATGAACATAGGGCTTGGAGGCCCCGACTCTGCCTAGAGCTTGGACCTCGAAGCATAGGAGCCCTGGAGACATGAGGTTCCACTGGCCAGACTGGATTAACCCAAGGGAACCAGACATTTCCTTTAAATTTTACAGAGCCAGCTCTCCCTCCCTGGCCTTTGTCATCACCCAGCCTCATGTTCCCCTCCTCTACTCCCCACACGCCAGAATCAGATCCCCTAATCAAAACCCACCACTGGCTCCCTGGAGCCTTCAGGATGCAACCATTTCCTCAGCTGGGAGTCAGCCCCAGGACTTGCCTGGCTGCTGGCAACCCTCAGGCCCCAGCACCTCCTCCTCTCCCTCCTCCCCACATCCTATCCTGGGGTAGGTCTCCCCTTTCCTCTAGGTGGCCTTGTGGGCATGCCCGTTCCACCTGGCCCCAGTATCTGAGTTCTGAATGAAGAAAGGCTTAAGGCAAAGCTCAGCGCTTGGCCTAAAAGCAATTCATCTGCCCCTGGGTGACTCCCAGCTGGAATGTCCGCTGCTGCCCCCACTCACAGTTCCAATTGTTACCAGGGAGCAGTGGTGCCCACTCAGAAATTACGGGCCTCTTGGGCAGGTAGAAGGGAGAGGGACAAGTGAGGAAGAGGTTAAGTGGTTCTGGAACCTTGGGGATTCCTTACTCAATTATTGTTACCCCTGTCCGGCCTTCAGGAGCAGCCACTTCAGCATGGCTGGCAAGGGGGTGCTGAGCTGGGGGGCTTGGGCCAGGGGCTTCTGAGGAGCATGTGATGGAGGGAGAAGGGGACAAAGGCGATCCAGGTCAGGGACATCCCCACTGCCAGGGCGCAGGGTGTCTTGGCCCTGTCCACTTACCAGGTGTAGATGAGCAAGGTGAGGAGGGCGGTGAAGAGGACAGCCAGCAGGACGGCCAGGATGACAATGATGACGACTGTGCCTGCGCTCTGGGGCCCTGGGGTGGCCTGGAGGGCCTCAGCTGAGGCATGGGAGGGGACCCCACAGGCAGGCAGGGCAGGCCGTGCAGGGAGGAAAGAGACATGATCTGACCTGAAAAGGGGGACCTGGGACAGTCTCTATCCAGATCAACCACCCACACCCAGGCTGGGGCGGTAGGTGTGCGCCTGCAGACAGCAAAATGGGAATGGTGCCTCTGACTGACAGGGGCTGGCCCACACCCGGTCCTCGGCCCCCCGCCCCAGGCCCCCAGCCCTAATGTGTGACCTGCTCATCTGGCTCCATACCCTGCTGCAGGTGGGTGTCATTGGACCACTCTGTCTCAGCCACGGGTCCTCTGTTGCTCATCACCAGGAACTTTACTCTGAACAGAACACCCAGCATTGCAAGTGAGGGTCCCTGGGTCCTGAATCCTTGGGCCCTGGTGCCTATCAGTCTGTCCCCTTGATTCCCAGGGCCTGGTGGTTGGGGAAGCAGGGACTGGGACATAAAGCATAGCCTTGGAGCCCACCTGAAGGGGCTCCAATCCCAGCTGTGACATTTCCCAGCTGTGTGGCCTTGGGTGCATCCCTCACCCTCTCTGACCTCAGCGTTCTGAATGGGGAAAATGGGCGTAGAGAGGACTAGATCCCCCGGCACTGAACATTTCTGGTGTTCGGTGAGGGGAGATGGCTCAAGGGGCCCGTCCCTCCCAGGATGAGGAGAATCTCTCTGGATGGGCAGATGCCATCTGTGGGACCCAAATGGCCCATGGGGGTAGGAGCTCACGCCAGGAGCCATCTGCTCAAGAAAGACAGGAGAATTTACCCAGGCCTCCTTCCACGTCCAGAATTAGAGCAGAGAACCCAGGCACCCAGCTGGGAGCTGCCCAGACTCATGTTTGGGTACAGGCAGGAGCACACCCAGGGCCTGGCAGAGCTGCTCACCGGTAGGGGCCCGGGCCTGGCAGGGGGTGGTTGCAGCCCCTTGTGGTTGGTGAGCAGCTGGTGTCATTGCCAACACGGAGGAGCCGGAGCTGGTTGCCAGGCTGACCACCTTGATAGAGCGCCCGGTTGGCCTCCAGTGTGAGGTAGTAGCCCATCTGGGAGAAGTTGGCAGGGACTGGGATGTCCTCCGTATTCTGCGGGGCAGTGAAGTTCTGGAAGGCTGAGGTTGGCATTCGGGTCAGACGGCGGGTAATGGTGGCTCTGATGACAGGGGTTGGCTCACCCCAGTCCTCAGAAGCTCCCAAAGCCCCCAAGCCTAGTGTGTAACCTGCTCATCTGGCCCCATATGGCACTTGCCATGCTCATCTACACCTGGTAAGTGGACAGGGCCACACAGGCAGGGTTCCAGCACATCCCACCAGGCCAGACAGCTCCCAGCCACATCCCTGGCAGCACGTCCTCCACCCCCCCATCCCCCGCTGCTCCTCACATGCCTCCTGCCCATTTCATAGAGGGAAAACCAAGGCCTGCCTCAGTGACACCCACCATTGCTATGGGCCACCACCAGCCAGATAGGGTCGAAGTTGGAGATGTTCAGGTCGTTGAACTGGCCCCACGGCTGCTCCAGCGTGAAGGTGGACTGGGTGACTCTCCCCGCCAGAGTGGCACTTGAGAGCTGGGGCACATAGCTGATGTGCTCTGGGAACAGTGAGTGTCAGAGAGAAGAGGCTCAGCCAGAAAACCAAGCCCTCACAGCCCAGACTGAGGGGGACGCAGGGCTGGACACGGTCTTGGGAGCCCAATCTGAGGGAAAAGGCACAGCCCCGCCCTGGGCACTCTGGTCTGAAGGAGGAGTTAGGGCTTTTCCTGAGAGATTTGTTTAGGCATTAATCGGGAGGGCTCCCTGGCGACTGTGCCCCTGGGGCATGGGTGGGCGGCCTGAGTCCAGGCCTGGCCCCTGCCTTGGGGGTCTACCATGGCTGGGCACTGTGGGAGGTCAGGGGGAGGGGCCTGCCTGTCTGTCCCCGCCCTACCTGGGGTCTCCGTGTGATGGACAGAGTCCAGGCAGGGGGACAGCCAGAGGTCAGGGGGCCCCTTCTCCCAGCCTCAGGCACAGGTCTGCGGAAGGGGTCTTAGGCCTTATTGGGGCGAGACTCAGATATAGGGGAGTCTGAGTCCTATGGTGCCCCGTGACCTCGAGCTCTTACACTCTGGGCCTCAGTACCCACTTCTCAAGCCCCCCCAGCTCCACCCACATGGTTCAGATTGCTTTGCTTGGTGAGAGAAATGAATGGCTTGGGAGGGGAGGAGGGGTGATAGAGGAAGTTCCCCTCCAAGACCTCAGGCCAGGATGTGGGCCACCAAGAGGGGGACTGTGTCCTGGCTCAGAACTAGGACACGCCCCCCTCCCCATCCAGTGCCCTGCCACTTCCCACCCCCGCATAAGGCACCTTCCCCTCTGGAACGTGTCCCCCTCTCAACCCCTCACAGCCTCATCTGGGGAAGGGCAGGGAGGGCTGGGAGACAAGAAACCTGAGCCCACACGCCCATGTCCAGCCCTCCTGCTGGGGGGAATTCTGAACCCCTAACTTCTCCCTGGGCCCCTTGAGAGCAACGCTCCTCCTCTCTCCAGCTCCAAATACCGGAGAGCCGCAGAAAAATGCAGTGCGCTGTTATGCAACCCTCCGAAACAGGCTCCCTCCTTTTGGTTCAGTTCAGTTCAATTAAATTCATTTCCATGTAATTCCACGTAATTCCCAAGGTCAGGGCTAGAACCCTCCTTTCTCTGGGCAACCAGTTCTGTCACCGAGGCCCAGCGCACTCGCTGCATACAGCAAGTACTTAATGTTCGCTTAACAAGGGAAAAGGTGTGGAACAGCAGAGTTGGGGAGCCGCATCTCTAAGCCCTTCTGGTTTAAGAGCCCGCAGTGAAGAATGCCTGCAGCCCCCTCAGAGGGCTTCCTTTCGGGATTGTCCTTGTAGACTTCTCTTAACCTTTGCTCGGGGACAGGAAGGAGGGCAAGGAGGAGTAGAGGGGAACCATTTGGTGAGAATTAGGGTGCACAGAGATGAAAACCCCAGAGAAAGGAAGCATTACTCATGCCCCTGTCTTGGGGTGGGGGATAGGTGCCTGTCTTGTGACCTGTTCGGTGGCTGTCTCCCTTGACCCACCCAGGGCCCAGTCCCCCGACCTGAGGAGTGGGAGCCGGTGCAGGTGAGGCCTGTCCGCCCAAAACCCAAGGCTCTGTGGGTGCCCCCACTCCACCCCGCTCTCACTCACCCAGGCCTGTTCCCAGCTGCAGGCAGCTCAGCAGTAGCAACGGTGGCATCAGCAGCCTAGACTGTCCCCAAGTGAGCCCCATGGCCAGGCCAAGCATCCAACTGTTTGTCAGAGGGTCTGTCTGCAGTGTCCAGCGCCCCAGAGCTCCTTAGTCTGGTCTGGGCTGGGGGAGGCTGCTTCTGGCACCTCCTGCTGCCCCTCCCAAGTGCCCCCTCCTCCCCAACAACTGGTTGTACAGGTTTTGGGGCAGAATGTGCTGGCCCCATGGATTTGGCATTGCCAGGGAGGGGTCCGAAGAGAACAATCAGCTCCAAGACAAGCCTAAACACCCTTACCCAGACACTAGGAGGGCCTGGCCAGGGAGGGGCCCCGGAGCGAGGAGGCAGCCCGGTTCCGGCAGCCCGTGACGGTCCTGCCACACCCCACTAAATCTTCTCATCCACACAGTCCCCAGCCCGGCAGCGAGAGCTTTGCACAGCCCTCTTGTGCAGAAGGGGGTTACCCTCATCTTCTAGATGAAGCATACAGAGGGGGCTTGCCCAAGATCACCCAGCCAGCCAGGGCAGAGCCCGAATTAGAGCGTCACACCCAAAGCCAAGCTTGGGGGGTCTCCCCGACATCACCCTCCCTCCTCTCTTCATCCAGGCCACCTGCCCTCTCTCCTTTCTCCGTCTGTGGCTGCTGCCAGGGCAGGGCAATCCATCCACAACACAGAAGATAACCGGATGGGGCCCCGGGTGGGGGCGGGGTGCAGAGCATGAACTGACCCCCGTGGGGGCTCCCGGCCTCAAGCACCGGCCCCTTTCAGCCCGCGGCCCGCAGCTGGCCAGGGGTGCCCTCCCCAGGCTCAGTCTCCTTTTGGGAGTACTTACAAAAATTTTTGTAAACCATTACAAATATTCTCTAGTTTTTATAATGACTTACACTCTCTTTAATTGCCAGCCCACGTACACTATTTCTCTTTGCGAAAATACTTAAACTGGGCCAATTGTTTATTACAGTGAACCTCAAAACAGGAAAATATTCCTACCAACATGATGTAATTACCTAGTAGGTTTTTTGTGACCAATTCTTTACTTGGACATGTTCACAGATGGTATCAGTCTTTTCAAGACAAAATTAGTCTCTTTCACCAGTGATTGACTCAGCCCCAAGAGAACTGGGGGTCAAGACCAGAGCAAAGGCTCAGGGAAGGCCGATGAGGTGGGGGGAGTCCTGAAAGCGCACGGGGTGGGCCTCAGCCAAAAGGCCGCTGCCTCCGCCTCACTAGGCGCTCCTGTCGCATCCTGTCTCTGCGTCTTCGCTTAGGCCAGCCTCTTCCAGGACGGCCCTCACTACCTCGCAATACCCAGCGAAGTTTAGTCCTACCTACCCCGGGGGCTGGCACTACTAGAAATGTGCCCTGGCCGGCCTTGGCACCTCCCCGGCCCGCTCCCCGAGCACCTGGTCTGTACCTCCATCGTCTAATCATTGTAACAGTGTGTTATCACATCCAGCACCCCCTAAGCGCACCTGCGCCTCCTCCTGCTCAAAGCTTCTGAGGGAAGAAACTGCCCTCCTTGCTCAGGAGGGTGGAGGGCGGCGAGCTCCCGGCGTCCTGCACAATGTCCCCCACAGAGCAGCCTCTTCAGCATAACGGTGGCGACGCTGCTGCATTTCAGATGCAGGTCATCCTGCAGTCAGCGCTTAATCAGAGGACGCGGAGGTCGGACAGGTAGGATTTTAAGCAAGTATGTGGGCGTTGGAGAGAGAGCATAACCAGGGCTTCTCTGCGCAGTCGCAGAAGAGAAGGGGACATGAGTGGGTCTGACTGGGGCCCAGCCGGCAAGTCCTGGTCAGTCCCAACCATGGAAAGGCTTCCTTTACTGCCCCAGCTTTTCTCTATAGAAATGGTCACACCTATAGAAAAGCTGAAAGCATGTAGTACAGTGAATACCTGTACGTACAGCCTCCACCCAGATCCAACAGCGAACATGTTGCCATATTTGCTCTGGATCCCCTCTCTCCCAGATATACATATACACGCAGGGTTTGGCACAAATAACACTCCTTTTTCATTACAAAATCATAAGCATGTAATTCTCTAACATAACAATATCACATTCAAGCACACCATATGACACTTCAGGTGAAATGTTCAAATTAAAACTATAAATTATTGCATCCATACTATTACCATGCCAACCACACTCAAGCAGGCCTCACTTCTGCCAGACACTGTGTGTGTGCGTGTGTGTGTGTGTATGTTTATATATATACACATATACATAAATATACACACATACATATATACTGTGTTACTCTCTATACATCTGTAGTAGACAGACAGTCATGAGGAGAGCAGGGAACATAAGCCAAGTACAGAATGTCACCAGGGTAGAAAGCCCATAGCAATTGCAGGTGGGACCTTGTCCCCAGGGTGACATTTCCTCCCCTAGCATATTGCTGGTTAAGTGGTTTAGAACTCCTGACCTTGTATATCGCTGGCATGTCACTAGTCATTCAGTAGACCCTCTTAGAGGAGGAACAAGGGGGCCAAAGAACAGCCTTATATGATTCTCTTGCACAACTATTTCCTCAAGCTTTAAACCCTCAGGGCAATGAGGTTCTGATCAACATCAGATGGTCTTGGAAGTAGAGCCTTGGGTCTGTTGACTACAAAGACAGAGTTTTGGTCAAACTAGAGATAACATCTAGGCCTCAGTTGTGCTTCAGCTCAAGGCCCAGGAAAGCATGGCTGTCGTCAGGGCCCACGCACCAGCCAGTCAGCGGAGACCATGACCCCGAGGAGACACACCTGAAAAGCTGATGAATATTCTATTGACATCCTTCCCCTGAGACCTCCAGGTAAGAACCCTCAAGACAAAGGTCTCAGTGAGGCTCACTGTCTCTCTCTTGAGCTTACCCTCGCCTTTCCCCCTCTCCTTCCCCTCTCTCCTTCCCCAAAGCATGCTTTCGTTTTTTTTTGTTTTTTGCCTTTCTTTCTCCTAAGCTCCAAGGCTCCCCCTTTGCCTCTGTAGCTTGCTTCCAGAGCACACACAGCCCAGCTGGCTCACTTCCTCCATGGCTCACTTCTACCTCTGTGACTGTTTAAATCAACTTTTGTTTGCATTTCAGGCTTGGCTCTGAATTCTTTCTTAGCCAAAACTCAAGGACCAAGGTAACATCTGGTGCCGTTTCACCACTAACACATCTGTACACACACACACACACACACACACACACACACATGATATATATTCTTATATAATAGGCTTTTATGTATTACATATTTTATTTAATATATTAATACATACATATATTTAGATTTATTTCTCTCTCTCTACCTAAGCAGTTGAAAGCAAATATCATAAACTGGGAAGGGCTTGTTTCATCCTTTTGAAAGTATGCTCTTGCCCATAGACTCATCATCTTCCCAGGTCCTCAGAGGTGGGCAGGGCAAGCATTCTTAGTAATCTCATTTTGCGGATGAGAAAACCGGGCCTCAATAGAGAGAGAAACTTCCTGTGCCGGGCAGCAGCACAGCTGGAAATCAACTGCACGTCTTGACACTCAGGCAGAGGTCTGTGGGAGCAAGTGATTAAGCTTCCTTCCTGTATTGTGACATGCTTCATTACTGCTCTGCACAAGCGCTGCTTTAATTTTGTTATCTTTTTCTCTTTGTGCCCATCTCTCTCCCACTCTTGCCCCTCACTCAGTTTGGTGTGTGTACCTGTATCAGTTAGTTACCTGAGGCAGCAGTGATACAGCCTTTGTCTGTGGCAGACAGAGCTCCTAAAGGGGCACCTTTTGTTGCCTGAAATAGCTCCAGAGTAATGTAGGTGAAATGGGTGCTTTTTAAAAAAAATTGATGAGAGAGAAAGAGCGCAACATTGGCTTGTTCCACTTATTTATGCATTCACTGGCTGACTCGTGTATGTGCCCTGACCAGGGATCAAAACCGTGGTGCATTGAGATGATACTTTAACTGAGCTACCCAGTCAGGGCTAAATTAGTGCTTTTTGTTTTTCATAACAAGCCCCTTTCCATCACACCTTAATGAGGTGATTTTTGGAAAGTCCCTAGAAAACCACAGGATAGGGGCTGGCTGCTGAGGGAACCAGCCGCGTGAGAGAAGGTTTGGAACTCCCAGCCCCTGCCCCTTACAGCCAGAGAGGGAGACAGACTGGAGGTTGAAATAATCACCAAGGGTCAATGGTTTAATGAGGCCCCCAAATACTGAAAAAAACCCAAATACTGAAAACACCTAAAATGCTGAAAAATTAGTCCTTTCCTTATTGATTTTAAATACCATTTTTATCATAGGCCACAGATGTGGGCAATCCTCAGTGTCCCCTCTCCCAGGCGTATCTCCCACATGCATCCGGGGTGTTCACACCACGGCCTGCTCGGGGTGCCAGCGGGCTCAGTTTGTCTGCTCAGGTACTGGTGTGAGAGCTCCCTCCCAGACCCACAGGGCTCCGGGAGTCCTCCCTGGTGTTGTGTTCATCCTGGAGCAGGGGAGCCAGGCTGCTGAGGGCTGCCCGCTCCCGCAGCCCCCGATAAGGGACCGGCCAGCTAGCCAGGCAGGGCTCTGGCTCCCACTTGGGCATAACTGAATGTTACCAGAGTAAGCCACTCCCAGCAGTGCCACTATGTAGCAGAAATGACAGCAGCAACAAGGAGACCCGGGCAGACCCAAAGCCTAAGGTCCCACCTCCAGCCACTGCCATTCCCCTTGCCCAGGTCAGCACTGGGTTTTGGCACAAGCTCAGAGGGGCGAGGAGCCATGTACAGAGATTGTTAGTGTTACTGTCCTGAGGGAGTGGACACTGGAAACCAGAGCTGCTATGATTTAGAAAACAAACTCAAGGGTCATGAAGACATTTGTGCCTGATGTGTATGTGTGTGTTTGGGTTAGTTTTCAGCCTCTGATTCTTGCCTTGGATCATCTGTCTCTTCAAGAATCAGTACCAGACCATTTTGGTCATTGTAACTTGACGTTATGTTTTGCTCTACCACAGGATAAATGGTCCCTCTCAGTCATGGGTCACCAGTTAGCATTGTTATTTGGTGAATGTCTCTTTTCTCCCCATAACTCTGAGGGAAGGCCTCAGGTCTCTTTAG